ATCTTCCATCTGTATAGAATAAGAGATGCGTATGTAAGTAAAGTAAAGATCTCAGAAGTCTCACAGCATTACGTACAATGACATCACAAGTCCACTGTAATCTGTTACACAAATACGCATTTCTTACAATAATATACTTCAGTGATTACCCTAAAAAGGTGGTATGTGTAATGGAATAGGCTAGTATCAGGTAACGCCACAGTTGCCACACTTTGGCCTGTATTTTACAGGAGACTGTAGCGTTAATTTTTCAAGCACTTGGACATCAGAGCTGGGACCTGATTTTTCACAAGGGAACACTACACACACCATGGCACTTCTAATCTGACCTTCAGATTCATCTCAGCACCAGGGAAAAGGGGAGAGGAAAGAGGCCAGGTAATTGAGCATTTGTTTTGGGGGTCCTAAAATGAAAAGGAATGTGAAGGCATTGTGAAGATTCAATCCTTAGAATAACTGATGCCTGAGCAATGCTACACATTATGAAGTAGCTGTACCCACCTAGGAGCAAAGAGTCATGGCAGTCATGACTTTCAGGTGTGCTCCTCAAATAGCAGAGACTCTAATCTTCTGCAGGAGACACTGGTTAATTTTAAGCTGCCCTTCCATATTTGGAATTGTTGGACAAGTGAAGGAAGCATACATGCCTTTGTCATGAACTATTCCTGGGAAAGGCTGTTCCAAAATTATGCAGCAATTTGCTCTCCAACACCTTGAAGCAACTCCTCTTGCTCCAGAACAGCTTCTCAGGACACAAATCACAGAGCAGTTAGGAACTGTGGAAAGAGAAGGGCTCAGGTGTGACTAATCTAAAGTTGGGTAAGTGAAAACTGGTACAGATGGGAAGTACTACCAACAGAGAGAAAACCTTCTCTTTCCCTCATTCAGTGTTCCAGAGATGTATAACTCGAATAGATACTTGTATTAGGCAGTTAAAGAACATTTAGGATTGAAGTGGATGAGATGGAAGACTGGTGAAGTTAAGGGATGACAGAATAAGAGCTAGCTCTTATTCCTGGTCACCAGAGCTCAAAGTTTCTTACAAGAGGTCAGTGCCATCAACTCCCATTTACAGATGGGGAAATGAAGGCAAAAGGACAGAAGGACAATGGTGGAAGACATGGACTCTCTTTCTAGCTTAAAGTCCCAGCACAATCCCCTATTCATTATGCACCACTGGTTCACTAGAAACTGGGATAAACTTGCTGCTGGTAAGATGAGCAAATAACATTCACAGGAAACCACTTGCCAGTAGGAAAGGATTCAAATGGAATCATTAGCCCTGGACCCCCGTTAAGCCTCTCTGCTCCTTAGGCCAAGATAGCTATTACTAGTCTAGTAGAATGTGTCAGATATATAAGCCTGAGCTTGTTTAATGTGGCAGGCAGTAACTTTCCAGAATTCTTCAACATATGATTTATAAGGATGTCAAATTACCAGCACCTACACTAAAGGTCTACAGTGGAATGTGAAATACAGAAGCCAATTATTTTAAATAAATTCATAAGGCAGTTCCTGAAAGTGTCCCAACTGATGGCAATTCACAGACCAGAAGAACATGGGCAACACAGCATGCACCCTTGCAGTGTTAGCAAGTCATCCATGTCTATAATAGAGAGCTGTAGAGTCACAAATAGGTAGGAAGCAAAGGTGAGGCTTTTCAGCTGAAACTGCTCCCCCCCCCGCAAACCAAACAAACTCCACAGACAAGTCTTGACCACTTCATTTTACAAACATCCATAACTTGTTTACATTGTGGTCCCTTGTTTTCCTTCCAAATGAACCACTAGAATCCAATTTCATTTAGGGCCCTTGCATTATGGGACAGAATTTCAGAAATGGAGGTACCGATAGCTCCAAATTTGGCACTCAGACAGAGAAAAAAGATTTTGGCCCCACTTGCAGATGTGCGCTTTATGAGAGGCTAAACTCAAGAGATGGCTACAACTCAACTCTTGACCACCAGGGATATTTCTAGAGGAAAGAAAATGCTTTATATTCAGAGTCCCAGGGAAACCTGGCATTTGTTTTTAGCCCACGTATTTCTGTATTAATCTGAGCCAAACCCATTTTCCTTCCTCCCAGCTGGTCACTGCAGACCCTAAACAGAGAAGCTCTTAGGTGCCCAGCCCTGGTTGCAGTGTCCTGCCAATGTTTGCCAGGCATCAGGCACTCACCCAGCTGGGGCAGGGTTATTATGCTCTACTTCCCCAGGAGGAACTGGCTCAAAGCAAGCTCCCCCGCCACTGCCATCCCATTAAGGTTGCCACCTCCCCTGTTTTGGTGCCTTCTGGCAGCCTCTGTGCATGGGGGCTCTAGGTGGCCGCAGTTTGCCCTGCAGGCAGAACTTGGGGACCCACATGCCCAGGAGCTGAGCTGCAAGTAAGGGCTAGAGAGGAGGCATGGCAACCTCAGCACCAGCCAGGGTGACACCAGCCAACCTGCTAGCTTCCTGGTGTGCTGGGGTTTCAGATACCCTTCTGGAGCCCCTGGTCCTTGCTTCACCCTACCTGCTGTAGGCCTGGTGTTCACGCTGACATCGCTGACTGCAGGACAGGGTTTGCACCGCTCTGAGTGGGGAACCAAATGTCCCTGCTTTGTTCTTGATGATCCTTGCTTGGCTCCTGGATCTGCCCTTTGACTCCATGGTCTGATTTCTGGCAGGTTGTAGGAAATCTATGCCATTCACCTTCTTCCCTAAGGGACACTTATCAAGCAAGTTGTGAGCCTGTCCCCCTGCCCCTTCCCCCCTTATTTCTCATGTTTGGAAGTTGTATGCAATGTTTTCCACAGCTGTCTGCCTCAGTGCTCCGTTTTTTTTTACTTGCAGACCTCCTCATTGCTGGTAGTTTTGGGTGGGCTCAGTATATCAACAAAGCAATGAGCTGTTTGTTTGTTTGGGGGGGGGAGGGTGGATTTTTTTTTTCCCAGGAAGGAAAACTATGCTTTCTGCCAACCCCAGGGCTTGCCAGACTGTAACAGAAACTCACTGCCAGCTGGTATGAGTGGGGAATGGGTAGATAGTGAAGAGACCTGGAAAACAAGGCCAGGTGAGGGGCTCAGCTTGAAGAAGGCGGACGTCATCCCTGCACTGTCCCTACAAAGATTCTTTTGGAAAGAAAATAGAGCCCCAGCTTGGTTCCTTCCCAAAGGCAAGGCTTGTTCTGGTTCAGTAATACCACTGGAGCTACAAGGGTAGAAGGGGAATGGGGGGATGGTTCTGGCTTCTTGTTGTTCTCTGAAGATTTTGAGGAGGCAAGTAGTTGATTTGGGGGATGCAGTGCTGTCACCACCCACCCCCAATGAGTATTCAAGGCAACTTGATTGAAGAGAACCTGAGATTTTCATCCCTTGTGTTTTCTTCCCACAGAAGGGAGCAGTTGGGACCTTGGTAAGGAAACACATTTTAGTTGTAATTGTAACAGTAATTGTAAAGGGTTTTATTGTAAATAATAATGAGGGGAAAATGATGTCTTATCCCACAAAAAGCACCTTGACAAGTTTTTACTGTTGGTGATGAATATGGACATATTCAAAGCATAATTGAAACAGGTATTACATTCCTTTTGCAAGTTAAAGGCCTAATCTTCCCAACGTTATTTCTATAAGAAATCCAACTGAAGTCAATGCAGTGATTCATGTGAATAAAGGCTGCAAGAACAAGTCTACAATGTGAAATAAAATAGTGGGAATAACAATTGTGAATGTTGTGTTAGGGCACTGAAACAGGGGAAAAACCATTTACTGCAAGATGGCCATTTTCCTTATGCAAGTCACCAGCATGGTAAGGTGGATGGATTGGCTCTTGCTCTGAAGAGTTCATAGACAAAGGAAGAATAGCAAATACAGCTACTGTCATGTAATACATGGAGATTTATTTCTTCTGAATATTCTCCAGAGAACTAATTCTAGTAAAGGAGAGTAGGTGAGGGGACTGGTTAGCTAAAACCGGCAGACCTGTTGCTTAGCGGGGCATGAGAATGCCCATTCACAGTAGGAACACAAGAAAGCAAACATGATTCAGCACTTGTTTTTTCAACATGTGTATGCTTGTGTTTAGAGAAGAAAACAAGGCTGATTTATGGCAGCATGTTCTCAGCAGCAACCTCTTGGCAAGGATAAGCATCCCTTACTGAGGAGTTTGAATAAGCTTGAGCTCTAAGTAAGTGCACAAACAAACAAGAACATATTAGGGGGTTGACATTCTCTTAGGGACAAATTTCTGGCTGGGCTTTTCTTTTCAGCAGAGTGTATGAAGATGCCAATGCCACTCCTTACTTTGTAAAGAAAACAGACATATAAAAATGATTTAACAGTTTTCAGCCCCATTCCCAGTAAACATGGCCATGGGATACGACCAAACTTGGCATTAATAGATGCCACAGGCAGAGACACTAGCGTTTAAAAGGTTATACCCGTCCACTGAAGCACATGCCCATGCCCAGTCAGGTTTGAGGTCTTTGGTATATGGTAGGTGCACTGTAAGAGAAATTATAGCCGCTAGCTGTACTGCACATAGTTTGTGGGGAAACGGATGACTCCAACCTCCAGGGACACCTTCACTTGCATTCAATTCTTACAAAAAAATATGAAGAAAAAAGGAAAGCTGAGCTACTCATGAGATCAGTTATATTTCTATGGAGCTGCATTGGCTAATTCACAAAGTAAAGCAAATATTTGAGTTACCTTTCCAGGGCAAACAAGGTTATGACAGGGAAGCATCACCCTACAGAATGGTGGGGAGGGAGGTGGAGGCGAGGCGGAGGATGACAAACAAACACCAGTTAGAAGCAAAAACCAAACTGGCTTCTTTGGGAACAAATTACGGGGAGTAGCTGACAGACACAACATGCCTTTATGGCTACTGACTCCTCTTAGTGAGATTACATATATGCCATGGCAGCAGATATATGATATGATATTTTCTTACGAGTAATGTAGTGTATAACGAATGAATGAGAAGTGTCTGCATCTCAAAAAGAAGAGACAGATACAAGCAGTTAGATGACAAGCAATTTTATTTTGCAAAACAGTCACTATACAGCAACAAATACAATTGCAAATTGGATTGAAAAACATGAACTAACTACCACCAGCCATTCAAGAAATGCCTCTTTATGGTAACAGGCTCTAGAATTATCAGAAAAAAACACAGGTTTGTAACAGCAGACTGTATTCCTTGAAATCCCAGCATACAGAATATGTTTTCTTTTTTTTCTCTTTGCTAAAGTTGAAGTGGTGTTTATGCTTGACTTTTCCAAGTGTGAAAGTTATTCATTTTCCTGCAGAGGGAATTACTTGAGTGAGATTACTAGCAAGTGAGCTCTGCGCACACCTAGGCTAAAATTCTATCTTCATTTTATATAGCAAAAGTGATCTACACTTCAAGACATGTGTCTTTGAAGGGACATTCATACTTGGTTCCAAACATTATTTAGTCCAGCATATCTTGTATGTGGTTGTCCACAATGACTGCTTTTTGACTCCTTTTGGGTCATGTAGATAGGCAAATTTGTATACATTTGCGAGCAGTCACGATGAGGAAAGGAATGTTGCTACTGTACTTTAACATATTTGAATGGATAATACCATTTAGTGCTGTACAGTGAAACTATGTGTAATCTAGTGGACACATGATTTTCCTCATCATTATTAGTCTTTCCTTTAATGGTACTGGACAAAGATCTATTCGACTTCTGCTGATTTCTTCCTGCCTGTGGTTACACACAAACAGAAATTTGCAGATGCAGAAATTCTTAAGGAGCGCCTTTTTCACTCTCATCACTCAAAAGATATATTTAGTTTTGGTCATTCTACTGCTATCCAACTTGGTGCAATTTAAGTGTTCAATTTCCCTGGATGATGTATTGTTACAAATAGAGAGAAGTTTGGTCTCAGATACCACTGACTGGCTATACCTACCAGTAGAATCAAAATATTAAAGATGTGCTTTCTAGAATCTTGGATATATTTTCTTTTCAATGTGGGCATCAGATGCTTACAAAGTTGTTTTTTTTAACACAACAACATTCTTCTTCAGAAATTAAGATTTTGAGGAGCTTTTTCAATGAACACCTTGAGTCATGTAACACAACTGCTCTTTATTCAACAGTGAAAACTCTTCATTTCTTTTATCTTCATTTAACTCCACAAAAGATCTATAATGCTTGCCATGGAAGGACAGTTACTGATTACAAGGTCTTTGCTTGAATTAAGACAAGGAAGCTCATTTCAATGCATGAAGTAAGTAACCAAGTGTATCGCACCAATCTAACTTTGGATGTTGTCTATGTACTGACTCAAGTTAATGATTTATAGTATGTTAATTTTAAAAGGAGAATGAAAATACTTAAGTTGAAGGTTAAACACTGTTCTGCCTTGCTGGTGCTCAGCTGCAGTGAAGGTGAGGTTCAGCAGTACCTTAGTTTCTCTCTAACACTGGCAAAACACATAATAAAAACAGTGCAAATCTAATTTGCATTAATTGATGCTACAGACACAGCAACATGTTCAAAAATACTGTTTTCCCATCTCGTTTTGTTTTAAAAAATGGCAAAGGATTTTGTTACACCACATGGTACAATATTTCCATGTCAATTCTTATGCTTATTCTAAGCATCAGTACAGAAACTGCAAGGCAGAAGCCAGAATCCTCTTGATGTATGTAACTTGATGTCTAAGCTCATTAGCTTTTGTATAAAATTACAGATTTCTAAACAGCATTAGGTACTTTGTAGTGTGAAAAAGCTTTTTGCAGAGTTGAAGTGTGATGTATTTAAGAATTTACTGTCAGTAAGGTACCTGGAGTTTTAGCTAAATAATTAATTTTCATACTTTTGGGAATTGCTTAGCTAAAATCTTCGTACACCTCAAACATTTATTGTTAATATTTGTACAGTTTTCTACCTGAATTTAATTATGTGGCATCCTGTTCTATTAATTATAACAATTCTTCTCCACAGACGAAAAATCTTCTCTGACTATGCATCTTTTCAGATCAGTCCCTGATCCACACATTCATGTACAAATAAGAAGTAAAAAGAACAGATAGAATACTCAAAAGCTTCCAACTCATGGTTCATGTATAGCTTAGCTAACTGTGCAAATGTTATCTGGAGATTTCAAAAGGAAAACACCATTCTGCAAGTGTGTAAACTGGTCATTTCATAATGTCTATTATATATAACATCAGCAGATTATTATCCACTGATGAATAATAGTACCATATTACCTTCAGTGTTTTCTTAGTGTCCATAAGGTAGCACTGGAATCCTTACAAGTAACTCCATTAGATGTGATGTTTATCTCTCTCTGCCTTTTTCTTTTAATTCACACTTTGTCTTATACTTTTTATAGTCAATATAATCTCAGTTGGTTCAGATTTAAAGATACCCTATTATCTATCCGGTCATCATAGTGACCCAGTCTAGGATGTTTATTTTATTTATTTATTTTATTTTATTTTATTTATTTATTTATTATAATTTATAGGCATGTTCTACAGTGCTTATTACTGAGCACCTGATCATATACATAAGACATCACTGAAGGACTAGAATGACACCCTAATACTCTTATTCTGTGTTTCAACTTTAGCAAAAGAAAAAAGAATAAATAAATCCAGTATTCATTGTTACTACAGGAATTTTTAAAAATGCCAAAACCAAACTATTTTTGGATTTTTAAAAATCCAAAATCTAAACCCACCTCTTTGGAGACCCTTTTACAAACATCTGGACCCCACAAAATCAGTCTTGGTGAAGAAAAGGGGGAGGGAAGGAATTATTTTTCTAGCATCACAGAAGAGACTTGCATCTGGCACTAAAACAGGGTCACGGCTTTTAGTTGTTACAGAAAGCAATTCATGCTAAAATTTTTGTCATTTTTTTTAATGTATTTTTCTGAATAGGGAAAAAAACCCTGCTAACATCTACTTTTACATACCTAAAATTGCAACACCAAAGGGTGCAAGAGACACAGATACTGTGAATAAAGAAGTATAATATTCAAGTATATGAGGGCGTATCACAAATGGCCACAGAGAAATATATATATCTATAATACTGTATCAAACAGATGGAAAGGATGTGAAACCGGTAGTGTGTACACAAATCTAGCCGCTTAACCAACATTCTAATCAGACACAAGTCCATTGGAATGGAAGTGCTCCCTTTCGATAGCTTTTCCATGTCACTTCCTCAAGCATGGTTCAAGTGTTTTTCAACTACTATTTTTAGTTATTAGTTAAATAATTTATTGGAATCAGCTATACACTGACAGGGTTAACCAGGCCCAAAAATGTTAATAACTTAATTCAATCTTTCTTCTACCCATTTATACAAAATAACACTTTAATTAAACTTGATTTTCTTTATATGCCCTTCCTTCTGATAAGTGGATTCTTCAGTTTAATTTAACCTGTAATAAATTACAGTGGGCAACTTTTTTTTCTCCCACCTATCAACAGAACAGTGAAATGAGCAACTTGGGATATTAACAAGGCTCTTCAGAAAGAGGTGGACAGCCTTCAGGCACATGAAAGGTAAAAATGCATTTTATCATAGTACGGTACTCCATGCAAGACAGAGCAGAGCAACAATAATTGTCCAATATAATATACTTTGATTGTATACCCATGTAAAGCCAGTGTCTTCCTGCTGTAAATGGAGATCAGGCCAATTTTTGTATCTATTTTTTTTCATTTTTTTTTATTGTATAGTTACTACAGTCTTGGGATGTGACTTAATTTTAGACATGGTAAAGAATGAATGTAACACCTGCTCTGAGCCCATTCCTGCCAAGAGCTCATGCCTAAATATTATTACTTCATACACTGCTAAATGAAGCAAATTCATAAGCCCTGTTTAGCTAGGGCTGCCGTGACATCTTCAGCAAGGGTAGCAAGCTGAGGGGATTCAAGCAGGTTGATGCTTCCAGAGGATGAGACATTGCTGAGTCTGCGAGGAGAAGCCACACTGGATCTGCCTGGTGACTGCGTAATGATTTCAGCCCCATGATCTACACGGGCTTTAGCATGCTCTCTGAAGTTTAGCTTCTGGCTGTCAATCTGTCCAAGAAAAGTAATGCCTTTAAACATTTGTTTTTTGAGTAAAGAGCATGGGTTCTCCATTGTCAAATGGATTTCAATGCCTGTCTTCTCTAGGGACAGTTTTCTCATTCATACATTATCCCACCTTTTTATTCTGAGGCCATTCTCCAGTTCCCAGTGCCCTTTGTGGTGCTTGAGGTCAGTGGCACTTATGAGGCCTCAACATCTGCTAGTATGATGATGTACAGTATCCTGGTTGTAGCTGCCATCACTGAATACTTCAGTTAAAAGAACATGAACACAGTCCTATGATCCTACCCACAATATCCAGCAGTGCTTGGCAGTAGGAGTTAGGCACCCAGTTCTCACTGACTTTCCATAAGATTCTGGTATCTAACTTCCTTAGGCAGGCTTGAAAACCCCTCCCATAGCCTTATTTCTGCTACTGGAAAATCTATGAGGTCATCATATGCTCACTGAACTATGAAATATTTATATTTTTGCCCTGAGATTGCGGGGGGGGGGGGGGGGGGGGGG